GGCAGAGTTACAGAAAGAGGTCCTCCATCCGCTGGTTCACTCCCCAGATGGCTGCAACAGCCAGAGCTGAGCTGATCCGAAGCCAGGAGCCAGGAGATTCCTCCAGGTCTCCCACGCGGGTGAAGGGGCCCAAGGACTTGGGCCATCTTCTACTGCTTTCCCAGGCCACAGCAGAGAGCTGGATGGGAAGAGGAGCAGCTGGGACTAGAACCGGCGTCCATATGGGATGCCGGTGCTTCAGGCCAGGGCTTTAACCCGCTGTGCCACAGTGCCGGCCCCGGAACAATACTTTTAAGATTTGGCCTGGGCTTTCCCAAGAACATGAATAGTGCTGTGGTAGGGAAGCAGAGCTCGGGACTGCACATGCATCGACAGCTTAGTGCACCAGGAAGTCAGAACAGCCTGCTGACGATCCTGACCCGCCTTTCTCTGAAGGAGACTCCCGGGGAAGAATGTCCGATGCCGGAGAAACCCCCCCAGAAGAAAGGAAAGGACACGGAGAGACAGAAATGGAAGAAGACGACGCCGACGCTGAGGAAGTAGATGATTCCCGCCCGGAATCAGGAGAGGACACGTTACCATGGAGGGGGTCGCAGGAGGAGGAAGAGGAGAGGGATGAGGAGGAAGAGGATGGGGAGGAGGGAGAGGAGAAGGTGGGAGAGGGGGAAGAGGAGGAAGAGGAGGAGGAGGAAGAAGAGGAAGAGATGGAGAAGGAGGAGGAGAGTGAGGAGGAGACTGAAGGAATGCAGAAGAAAACCTCCGTGAAGTACCGGGACTTCAAGCTGAAGAAAACTGCCTCTGACTCTCTGTCGGGCAGTTCCTTAGTAAGTGGTCACTGCGTCACCAGTCGCTCATCCTTCAGGATGGCTGCCGGCACCCTTGGTGTGCTCCAGCCTGTGGGTCAGAGACAGATGGCACCCGGTCTGTTCCCTTGAGGAGCCCTAGGGTGTGATGTGCCAAGTGCAGTGGGAGGGGCGCAGGGAGAGGCTCGGAGGGGAGACTTCCCGGAGGAGGTGTGTGCATGGCTGACTCCCAGGGGGCTCGCAGGCATCAGCTGACGTGTGACCAGGGGACCAGGGGCTTCCCGCAGACCTCTCCCCCGGGAGAACCCAGCTCTGGCCCAAGAACAAGTCCCTCTCCAGAGACTCCCCAGGGCCACTTAGAGGAGTGGTTGTGCTGTGGCAGGTGTGCTAGGAGGCCGAGGGTAAACCCGCATGTGTAAACCGCGGTTCATTATGTAAGCACAGAGTGTCCCGGTGTCCTTTTTTTTTTTTTTTTTTTTTGGCAGGCAGAGTGGACAGTGAGAGAGAGAGAGACAGAGAGAAAGGTCTTCCTTGGCCGTTGGTTCACCCTCCAGTGGCCGCCGCGGCCAGCGCACCGCGCTGATTCAATGGCAGGAGCCAGGTGCTTCTCCTGGTCTCCCATGGGGTGCAGGGCCCAAGCACCTGGGCCATCCTCCACTGCACTCCCTGGCCACAGCAGAGAGCTAGTCTGGAAGAGGGGCAACCGGGACAGAATCCAGCGCCCCGACCGGGACTAGAACCCGGTGTGCCGGCACCGCTAGGCGGAGGATTAGCCTAGTGAGCTGCGGCGCAGGTGCCGGCCCCGGTGTCCTTTCAAAAACGACCCTGAATTCCACAGGGGGCTAACACGGGACAGGCTGAGGGGGTCAAGGGGAGCAGGGTGGGTGGGGAGTGCACAGCACGCGTGTTGGGTCCCTGTCTCCCTTTGTTTCTTCAGAGAAGCCCTAAAGGTAGCAAGACCAAGGATTCGTTCCAGTCGGGAAGCTCCATGCCCGATGAGCTTTCCCGAGGCCCGAGCTTGCAATACGAGCTTCTTGACTTGGAGCCAGGCAGCTCTGAGGAGCAGCAGGTTGGTCTTCACGAGAGGCAGTCGGCAGGTGAGCTGGAAGAATGGACCGACCAGGCACCACACAGCGGAGCGGGGCCCAAAACAGCTGAGGAACCCATACAGGGAGAGAAGAGACGAGACAAGCGCGTGTCCTACTCCCTCTATGAAGAAGTCAAAGAATTCCCATGCAGGGTGGCGGTCTCCAAGCAGTCCCAGGTGTCCACCTCCACGGAGGACGGTCTCTTCCAGAAGGTGCCCGCCCCGGAGGTGCAGCCCCTGGTAAGTGTAGCGTGGGCCTTGGCTTCCCGGTGCCCGGGGGTGTGTGCAGTTGGTGCCTTTATGCCTGTGGTGAGGAGATACCACCAGGGGGAAACTTTTTAAGCTAGCGGTAGACTTGGGTCTTTGAACACTCAGCGGAGGGCTCCGGCTAGACGCGTGTGTTGGAACGTGAACTTGGAATGCCGCATCTGGGTCCCACAGCATTGCCTGGCAGGCGGGAGATTCCAGGCGGATTTTGTCTTTTGCATAGGGTGCCAGTTGGTGGGAGAGACTCCAGGTCGAGACTGGCGGCTCCCTCTCTTCCCCCTCCCTCCTCACCTCCTTTCCCCTCCCTGCACTCCTCTCTCTCCAGCCTTGTAAAACTCCTTCTTCATTCCAGGATCCCTCCCCTGCCCCTCTGGCCTCCCGAGCTCCCAAGCCCCGCCTTCCAAAGGGGAAGCAGCAGGAAGAACACCAGGTGGCCCGAAGGAGCCCTTGGCACCGCTCAGAGTATCCCGGAGAACCACCATCTGCCAGGAATAAAGATATTACCATTTAGCAAGAGACGGGAGAGGAGGGTTTCTCCTTCTTCCTCTGTCTGCTGCGTTCTGCAGATTGTGAACTGGAACTCGTCCTTTCTCTCTCTCTCTGTAGATTCTTGCCTTTGCGAGACTTGGAAGGGGCCGCGCAGTTCCTAAGGCACGGGGTGGGGGGCTCGGTGAGGACCAGGACTGGATGGGGATGGGGCTGTGTGTGGTTGGACGCCTCCTTCTCGTCGGTTTGGCTGTGTTTGAGCAGGAGGTTCTGTCTGGTAGCTTCCGGTCGTCCCGTGTGAGGGAAGTAATCGTTGCCCGAGGACTGGAGTGGGCAGTGGCCTTGCCGAGCCAGCTGGCGGGGAGCGGCACCTGAGGAGTGACCTCAGCGCCGGCCCTCTCAGCCTGACTCCCTGCAGAACCCAGACTTCTAGGGCATCTCCCTCTGCAAGTTGATTTAGCTTTGGGGCTTTACCTTCTTTCTTCTTTTATTTTCCTTGACTTTTATTCGTCATTTCTTCTTTTTTTGCAAAAACGCTGTTCTTTATACAAAATTCAGACAACGCAATTGAGAGCACTCCAGAGATTGTGGGGAAATGGAACTGAAAGTTCAGTTTATTTGGGTGCAAACACGTGTTTTGAATCCGTGCATAACGTTTTCACACTGTGCATTTCCTCTAAACCTTTTGCAAGCTGCTGGTGTGGGGTTGAAGAAAGCAAGGATTGTTCTTGCTTGCATGCCCCCACTCAGACCGTTTACCTGGGGATCCATGTGATCTTTTTGTTTTGTTTTGTTTTTTGACAGGCAGAGTGGACAGTGAGAGAGAGAGACAGAAAGGTTCCTTTGCCATTGGTTCACCCTCCAATGGCCGCCAGGGCCGGCGCGCTGCGGCTTGATCAAAAGCCAGGAGCCAGGAGCTTCCTCTAGGTCTCCCACATGGGTGCAGGGGCCCAAGGACTTGGGCCATCTTCCACTGCTTTCCCAGGCCGTAGCAGAGAGCTGGATGAGAAGAGGAGCAGTCAGGACTTGAACCGGTGCCCATACAGGATGCCAGTGCTGCAGGCTGGGGCTTTAGCTCGCTGTGCCACAGCGCCGGCCCCAGACCACCAGGGAAAGGGTGGCTCGCTCTGAGCATCTGCTGTGGCCGTGAAAGCAGCTGGGGTGTGACTCGCGGGCTTGTGGTCGCCGTGTGCGTAAGGCCGCTCTGTGGCCGCTGAGTGAGGCGAGGCCGGCATTGACCTTCTGAATCTGTTTAGGGATCTTTCCTTCTTATAACCAGTTTCTGAAGTGGCCAAATGACTTCCCAGGTCAAGTAAGAGGATTTTTTTAGGATTAGCACATTTCCAAAAAGAACAGTTTCATCGGAGTACGTCGGCTTTCACGAACCAACCAAATAGGAAATAATTCTGTTCCTAGAAGTTGCAGCTTGAGAGGATTTTGATTCCGTGATTCTACCACTCACACCCACACAGAAAGAGTTCTAAACAGGGATCTAGACCACAGGGGGTGAGCAGATGGGAGCAAGAGAGGCAGCAGAACCGACAGACGTCAGCTGCCGGCCTGCTCTGTGCTCCCTGGGGGATTCCTGTGGTTTGTGAGTTTAACTCTAGCTGTGCAGTGTTCAGAGGTTTTATTTCTGTATTCCAGGCTAACTCACTGATTTTGAGTATTTGATCCCTTTCGGTACTACTACATTTGGTTGACTCTAGTTAAGGTTTTTTTTTTTTCTTTTTTAAGATTTATTTATTTATTCGAGAGGCAAAGTTACAGAGAGAGAGAGATCTTCCACCTGCTGTTTCACTCCCCAAATGGCCTCAATGGCCAGGCCAAAGCCAGGATCCTGGAATTACGCACAGGTCTCCCGTGTAGGTGGCAGGAGCCCAAATACTTGGGCCATCAACCGTTGCCTTTCTAGGCGCACCAGCAGGGAGCTGGATTAGGAGGGGAGCAGCTGGGGCCAAACTGGCACTCTGATATGATATGACAACAGGTGGCTTTAACTGACTGCATCACAGTGCCAGTCCCTCTAGTTAATTTTTAAAATAGACATATTTTTAAAAAAGAAAAATTTATTTATTTTAAAGGTAGAGTTATATACAGAGAGAAGGAGAGACAATGGTTCAATCCCCAAATGGCTGCTACAGTTTTAGCTACACCAATCCATAGCCAGGAGCCAGGACCTTCTTCCAGGTCTCCCATATGGGTGCAAGGCCCAAGGACTTGGACCATCTTCCACCACTTTCCCAGGCCATAGCAGAGAGCTGGTTCAGAAGTGGAACACGAACCGGCGCCCATGTGGGATGCCTGCTTTGCAGGCGGTGGCTTTACCCGCTCCGCCAGCCCCCATTTCCGGTTTTCTGAGGAGCAGCCATACTGCTTTCCCTAGTGGCTGTGCCACTGAACGCTCTTGTGGCACTAATGCACCAGAGTTCTGGATTCCTCGTTTCCTGGTGAAGTTCTCCCTGTTGCTGGCTTTTAGCATACTCACGGGGCTGGTGGGCTGGGCCTGCTAACTCCATCACACCGCCCCGGGGCCTTGCTGTCTGTCCCGAGGACTCGCCTGTTGGGGACGCGTCCTCCTCAGGCCTCGTGGGGTTCACCTCCTTCTGTGACAGGCGTCTGTCCCGCAGCTCCTCCACGGTGCGGTCGGGGACTCGCTGGGAGCGGCCTCTCCGTGCAGGACTGTGGGTGCGGGCTCCTCCCCTGCGGGCACCCGCCGCTCAACGCCTGCAGCCCTCGCCCGTGTTCCCTCTCGTCTGCAGACGGTGACCTGGACGTTCGGATGGAACAGCTCACTCCCCGTCTTCTACATCCGCGAGGAGCGCCACAGGGTCCTCCTGTACGTCTGTGCTCACACGGTGGTCATCTACAACACTTTCTGGAACAGGCAGCACCACCTGCAGGTGGGGGCACCCTGGCCCTGCACTTCGGGCCCGAGGCCGGCCCTTGCCCTGGCCCTCTGGTCCCTGCCCCCACCTCCTGCTTCCCCTCAGCAGCTTCTCTCCTTGCACGCCGCTCTGCCCCTCACCCTGCGTCCCCCACGCCTGACACTGTGGCCGCCTCCCACGATGTGTGCGTCTCCACTGGGTGACCTGGTCAGCAGCGCTGTGTCGCCCTCTTACTGGGCATCCATCGTTACATCAGGACCTTCCTGGTGGACCCCTACATCAAACATATCACAGAGTTTTTAGTTTTTGAAAGGCAAAGTGACAGAGCGAGAGATCTTCCACCCTTGATTCACTCCCAAAATGCCTGCGGCACCTGGCACTCTGGAGCCTGGAGCCCCGTCTGCGTCTCCCACATGGGTGGCAGGGACCCAAGTACTTGAACTCCAGAGCCCACACTAGCCAGAAGCTGGAGTCAGGGAGAGCCGGGACCTGAACTCAGGCACTCCCATGTGGAATGCGGGTGCACCAAGCATCTGCCCCATCACTGAGCACTTGCCAAGAGCCCAGTCAGCACTCAGCATTGTGCCAGGGATCCAAGATGCAAGAGTGCAACTTAAGAAATTGACTGGCTGGTGCCGCGGCTCAATAGGCTAATCCTCCACCTGGCGGCGCCAGCACACCGGGTTCTAGTCCCGGTCGGGTCGCTGATTCTGTCCCGGTTGCCCCTCTTCCAGGCCAGCTCTCTGCTGTGGCCCGGGAGTGCAGTGGAGGATGGCCCAAGTGCTTGGGCCCTGCACCCCATGGGAGACCAGGAGAAGCACCTGGCTCCTGCCATCGGATCAGCGCGGTGTGCCGGCTGCAGCACGCCAGCTGTGTGGCCATTGGAGGGTGAACCAGTGGGTGGAAGACCTCTCTCTGCCTCTCCTTCTCTCTGTGTAACTCTGACTTTCAAATAAATAATAAATCTTAAAAAACAAAAAGAAAGAAATTGACTTTCTGGAAGTCCAGAAATGGACAGGAGGAAAATCAGCCAGCAGGAGGTTGGTTGACAGTGGGGCAGGGACAGTGGGGGAGGGGAGCTTGTTGTGAGCAGGTGCAGGTGAGATGTAGGCAGCTTGAGTCCAGCCCCAGCAGTGTCAGGTGGCTGGGAATGGCCTTGGCTGCTAGTTCATCCCTCATTCGTTCGTGGCTCCAGGGTGCACCATGTCTGCTCCGTGGTCATGAGCAAGGCAGCTCTAGTCTCTGTCCTCATGGGGCCGCCAGTGGATGTTAAACGAATGAACCCAGGCGCCAGGATCCACAGCGTGAACAGGGTGTGGGAGGAAATGTAGAAATGCCGGGGGGCGGGGTGTGGAGGCTCTGGGGGACAGAGACTCCCCTTAGAGCTGCCCCGTGCGCCCAGTGGGGGTGAAGGAGACGGAGCAGGTTGTTTCCCAGCGGGGAGGGCTGCCCCCTTGTTGGGGGACTGTGGGGGACGATTGTAGGAGGATGGAGTGGAGGCAGAGTGAGGAGTATTTTTGCTCCCAGAGTGAGGCTGGTGGGGAGCTTGGGGGCCGGGACAGGGAGAGCCCAGGTGTTTACTTTCAGCCAGGCTTGCGAGTTGGGCACGGGCCTCAGCCCCCAGGGAGGCCCCATCTGTGTGGGTGTGGCCCATCCTTCTGGTGTTTGGAGAAGGGCTGAGAGCTGCCCACCAGGAGGTGGAGGGGCCCCTGGGTGGGGGGGAGGGGAGGTGGGGACCCAATGGAGTTGAACTTTCAGCCGCAGGAGCCTGGAGAGGAACTCAGAGCTCTCGGTGGGCCCGGCTTCCGCTGCTGGTGCCGGGGCCGGGCGACATCCTGGGTGTTGGAAAGCATTTCTGTCCGTCTCCACAGGGCCACCCGAACGTCATCTCCTGCCTGTGTGTCAGCGAAGACCGGCGCTGGATTGCCACGGCGGACAAGGGGCCCGGCTGCCTGATCATCATATGGGACTCCTTCACAGGGTAGGCTTTGCCTCGTGACCCTGTCCCTGCTTTCTGGGGCCAGGCATGGTCATACCAGTGCCCAGAAGATTATTCCAGGGTAAGCCAGAGGAGGCTGACTCATAGTAACCCAGTTGGCACAAGCTCCGAGTGTAAGCCGATGCCAGATGCCAAACTTACCAGGACAGTCCTTAATAGTCACCACTGAGCGTCCCCTGCCCCGGCTGTCTGTGTCACCACCAAGTGTCCCCTGCCCTGGCTGTCCATCCATGTCACCACCATGTCCCCACCCCATCCCCCCACCCCAGCTGTCCATCTGTGTCACCACCGAGCGTCCCCCGCCCTGGCTGTCCATCTGTGTCACCACTGAGCGTCCCCCTGCCCTGGCTGTCCATCCGTGTCACCACCAAGCGTCCCCCCGCCCTGGCTGTCCATCCGTGTCACCACCAAGCGTCCCCCCGCCCTGGCTGTCCATCCGTGTCACCACCGAGCGTCCCCCCACCCTGGGTGTCCATCCGTGTCACCACCGAGCGTCCCCCCGCCCTGGCTGTCCATCCACATTTGGAGCTGTCCACACTGGATCGTGGATGCACCGCTCATTGGCTGTGTTCTGTTTACTTGCCCTGCCGTGGCCGTAGCTGTGTTGACGGCGGGAGGCAGTCCCCTGCGGGTCTCCCGCAGCCTCTCTCTGCTTCTAACGGCTCCTCTCTGCTCACAGCCCCCCGTTGCCTTTGCTTGTGATCCCTGGACTGTTTCTAGATCAGGTCGAGGTCCCCCCATTGCCCTGCACCCAGCTTTCCCTGTTGTGCCCATCTCAGAGCAATACGGTCACACCTGTTCTCAGCCAACACCTAGAGTGGCTGGGGTCCCCTTCTGTCCCCGGCAGTGCCCCCCCCTCTTTTTTTTTTTTTTTTGACAGGCAGAGTGGACAGTGAGAGAGAGACAGAGAGAAAGGTCTTCCTTTGCCGTTGGTTCACCCTCCAATGGCCGCTCCGGCTGCATGCTATGGCTGGCGCACCGCGCTGATCCAATGGCAGGAGCCAGGAGCCAGGTGCTTTTCCTGGTCTCCCATGGGGTGCAGGGCCCAAGTACTTGGGCCATCCTCCACTGCACTCCCTGGCCACAGCAGAGAGCTGGCCTGGAAGAGGGGCAACCGGGACAGAACCGGCACGGTGCCGGCCATAGTGCCCCCTCTCTATCCCAGGGTTCCTCCAGGGCACCCCCGTTGGCTGTGGGTGTCTTGTCTCTTCAGCCCTTCTTGGTGATGGCCGTTCCTCGGCTTTTCCTTGTCTCTGATGGCCTCGATGGCCTGGAGGGTCGCAGGCCAGGGGGTTTGCAGGCTGCCCGTTGGCTGGGATGCTCTGATGTTCTCCCCACGATGACTGTTGTCATTACCTTCTTGATGGGCTCTGATGGCTAGAAATGCAGGCGAGCCTCCCCGTGGGTAGTCAGATCTGCTGGGGGTCTCCTGGCCGGAGCCCAGGCTCAGGTAGCTGTGCGGCAGCCCCGTACCCTCCCCACGTCAGCCCTGGGGACGCTGAAACCAAAAAGTTCCTCGCTTATGGCTACTTTCCTGCCAGGGCACCTCAGAAAGAGTAGAGGAATCTTGGTGGGCAGGAGCAGTGCTACTCACGATGTCCACGGACCGAACAGGGGCCTCTGGGAGCTTGGATGGCGACTTGACTTTGATCCTGCTATGATTTTTTTTTTAAAGATTTCTTTTATTTATTTGAAAGACAGAGTTACAGAGAGAGCGAGAGCCAGAGCCAGAGAGAGAGGCCTTCCTTCCATTGGTTCACTCCCCAAATAACCTCAATAGCCAGAGCTGAGCTGATCTGAAGCCAGGAGCCAGGAGATTCCTCCGGGTCTCCCACTGAGGTGCAGGGGCCCAAGCACTTGGGCCATCCACCACTGCTTTCTCAGGTCATTAGCAGGGAGCTGGATCAGAAGCGGAGCAGCGGGGACTCAAACTGGTGCCCATAGGGGATGCCAGCACTGCAGGGGAAGCTTTATTTGCTACACCACAGCACTGGCCCCCTGCTGATTTTTTAAAAAATCATTTTGAAACATGTAATGGAAGAATAAATTATCTTAATATCTAAAAAAGTATTTCTTTGAAAGGTAGAGTGACAGAGTAGGAGAGATGGAGATCTTCCAAATGCCCACAAGAGCTGAGGCTGGGTCTGGCCGGAGCCAGGAGCCCAGAACTTGATCCAGGTCTTTGACGTGGGTGGCAGGGATCTCTGACCTTTTCGGCCATCACTGCTACCTCCCAGGGTGCACACTAGCAGGAAGCTGGATCAGAAATGGAGCGTAGCTGGTGTTGTGGCATAATGGGTAAAACTGCCACCTGCAGTGCCGGCATCCCATATGGGCTCTGGTTCAAGTCCTGGCTGCTCCACTTCCGATCCAGCTCTCTGCTATGGCCTGGGAAAGCAGTAGAAGATGGCCCAAGTCCTTGGGCCCCTGTACCTGAGTGGCAGACCCAGAAGAAGCTCCTGGCTCCTGGCTTCAGATCAGATCAGCTCTGACCATTGCAGCCATCTGGGGAGTGAACCAGCAGATGGAAGACCTCGCTCTCTGGCTCTACCTCTCTCTGTAAACTCTGTCTTTTGGCCGGCGCCGCAGCTCACTAGGCTAATCCTCCGCCTAGCGGCACCGGCACACCGGGTTCTAGTCCCGGTCGGGGCGCCGGATTCTGTCCCGGTTGCCCCTCTTCCAGGCCAGCTCTCTGCTGTGGCCAGGGAGTGCAGTGGAGGATGGCCCAAGTGCTTGGGCCCTGCACCTGCATGGGAGATCAGGAGAAGCGCCCGGCTCCTGGCTTCAGATCAGCGCGGTGCACCGGCCGCAGCAGCCACTTGGAGGGTGAACCAACAGAAGGAAGACCTTTCTCTCTGTCTCTCTCTCTCTCACTGTCCACTCTGCCTGTCAAAAAAAAAAAAAAAAAAAAAAACCTCTGTCTTTCAAATAAATAAAATAAATCTTTCAAAAAGGATTCACTTTATTAAGGTGATAAATTAGAAACCATAATTCTTCGTTCAACTTAAATATGTACCATATTTTTGCAATCACCTTTGGGAATACATCCATTAATGTTTGCCCTCACAAATTTGGTTCTTAACTCCTTTTTAAACTGCATTTAGAAATTGAATATACTGTCATTTTAAGTTTTTTAGCTGTCTGATAAACAGATGCTTCACCAGTACTTAAGTGATTCTTATAAATTTAATAATTTATACATAAATTAGGTAAATCTTAATTTCTCTTAAGTGTTGTAATATTGCTTATATACCTAATTTGGTTTTGATTTAAAATCACAAGTCTGCATCAACTACATATTGTAAATTAGATATCCAGATCTAATCTGTTGGACTCTGACATTTCAAATTCTCTCTCTCTTTTAAACATTTATTTATTTATATTTAATTATTTAAAAGGTAGAGTTACAGAGAGAGAGAAAGACAGAGATATCTTCCATCTGCTAGTTTATTCCCCAAATGGCCACAACAGCCAGAGTAAGGAGATTGTTCAGGGTCTCCCACATGGATACAAGGCCAAAGGACTTGGGCTGTCTTCTGCTGCTTTCCCAGTCATTAGCATGGAGCTGGACTGGAAGTGGAGCAGCTGGGACTTGAACCAGGCCCATATGGGTCACTGATGCCACGGCTTTACCTGCTATTCCACAGAACTGGTCCTTCAAATTCTCTAAAATGTCACTTGCTACTTGGGCTGGCACTGTGGCGCAGTGTGTTAAGCTTCTGCCTGTAGCGCCAGCATCCCAAATGGGAACTGGTTTGGGTCCTGGCTGTTCCACTTAGGATCCAGCGTCTGCTAATGTGCCTGGAAAAGCAGTGGAAGATGGTCCGAGTCCCTGGACCCCTGCCACCCATGTGAAACACCTAGAGGAAGCTCCTGGCTCCTGGCTTAGGCCTGGCCCAGCCCTGATCATTGTGGCCATTTGGGGAATGAACCAGAGGATGGATCTCTCTCTGTCGCTCCTTCTCTATGTGACTCTATTTCAAAAATAAATAAATCTTTTTTTTAGAAGTCCTATGTTCCTAAGGAATTGAGCAAATTCTCTTACTACACATATGTTAATAGTACAAGTCCAGCTGAGTTCATCTTCTGTATACTTAATAGAACCTGAGTGGTCCTCAGCTAAGACCCAGACTGTGTTCCCACAGGGCACTGGTAGGACATACTGAGCCTGTGTCTGCTCCCTTATGGGGACTCCAAAGGCTGTGTGTGATGCATGCAATTCTAAAGTGGGGTGGAAAGCCAAGGAAGGTCCTGCCTCATCCAACCCCGTCTCCAGACATTAAGCATTGTTTATGGAGCCTCGTCCTCCAAGCTTTTACACACACGTGTGTGCTCACACACATGCACACACGTGCACAGATGTCACTGTCTATGTTGTTTCTCAACTTATGTTTTTTACCAAGTTTTGGCCACTTTCCCACATTTAATTCATTCTTTTAAAAACATTTTTAGATACTTATTTGAGAGGCAGAGATAGAGGGAGCTCCTGTACACTGATTCATTCCCCAGATGCCCTCAACAGCTGGGATCGGGCCAGGGCTGAAGCCAGGAACTCAGTCCAGGTTTCCCACACGAGGGGCAGGTACTCCACTACTTGAGCCATCACTGCGGCCTCCCAGGGTCTGCATTAGTAGGAAACTGAGTCAGGAGCTGGGGCTGGGACCCAAACCAGGCACTCTGGTACAGAACATGAGCGTCTTAAGTGACTTTTTTTTTTTTTTTTTTTAGATTTATTTATTTGTTTGAAAGAGTTACAGAGAGGGAGAGGGAAGGGGAGAAGGAGAAGAGAAGTGAGAGGGAGACGGAGAGGATCGTCTGTCTGCTGGTTCACTTCCCAAATGGCCACAACAGCCAGGGCTGGGCCAGGCCAAAACCAGGAATGAGGAGCTTCATCTGGGTCTCCCACGTGGGTGCAGGGGCCCAAGGACTTGGGCCATCTTCTACTGCTTTCCCAGGCCATAGCAGAGAGCTGGATCGGAGGTGGAGCAACCAGGACTTGAACTGGTGCCCATATGGGATACTGGTGCTGCAGGCAGCGACTTTATCTGCTACACCACAGAGCTGGCCCCGTTAAGTGACATCTTAACTGCTAGGCTAAACACCTGCTCCCTATCTCGTTTTTTTTTTTTTTTTAATTTATTTATTTATTTTTTTTATTGAGGGCAGAATAGTTTTTCACTATGTGGCTTAGCCACAGTATTTCTTAACACTCCTTTGGTTGTTAGATATTTGTGTTATTTCACTTTTGGTATTAGAGTGGTACACAAAGTCCATGGATTTTCATTTCTCCTTGTTGACTTTTTTCTTTTCTCCAGAGAAAGTCACAGGAGTGGAAGTGCTGGGTGATATGCTATGTGCATTTAAAATTCAGATAAGTGGAGCCAAGTTTCTGTCTGGATATATCATGCCGGCTTGTGCTCCCACTTGTGTGGGAGAGTGCCTCTTTTCCCGGGAGCTGGGCCAGTGTCCAAGTCTTCATTTTTTTTAATTTTAATTTTTATTTGAAAGGCAGAGAGAGAGATAGGGAGATAGGGAGAGAGAGAGAGAGAGAGAAACATAGGAACAGAAAGTTCCGATGCATTGGTTCTCTCCCAAAGGCCAGGGCTGAAGGCAGAAGTTGGAGATGCAATCCAAGTCTCCCCTGTGGGTGGCAGGAACCCAACCATCACTGCTGCTGAGGGGCTGTGTGAGCAGGAAGCTGGAGCCAGAAATTGGGGCTGGGACTTGAGCCCAGTTACTCTGATGTGGGACGTGGGTGTCTTAACCACTAGGCTGCAAAGCAAAGTGCCAAGCATGGGACCCCCACCCAGTTAACAGGTGGACAAGGGACTCAGGACTCGGGTCCACAGCTCACATCCAGCCTCTGGTTGGGCTTTTTGTCGCTGAGGGAAAATTCCATTTTGAAGTGTGCACTGGAGTGGCATGTAGTCGATACACCAGTGTGGAAGCGTCACCTCCTCTGAGCCCCAAAACATTTTCGTCACCCAAGGAGGAGACCCTGTACCCGTGGGAGGTCGCATCCCGTCCCCACCCCCCACCCAGCAACCACAGGTCAGTCTGCTTTCCATCTAGGGATCTGCCCGCCCTGGACACTTCCTGGAGGTGAATCACGTGCATCTGGCTTCTCGCACCGGGCTTCACGTTCCCAGGGCTCCCCCGTGCCATAGCCTGTGCCATTGCCTCATTCCTCTTTCCGGCCGCGTCGTGTCCCACTGTACACAGAGACCCCGTTGTGTGCTGTCTGGGGAGGTGCGAGCCCCGGTGCGAGTGCCCGCCTCCCTGTCCTGTCGTGCAGCATCCCCGTGCACACCATCTTTGACAGCTGCCCCGATGGAAGCGGCATCAGGGCCATAGCCATCACGCGCGATGCCAAGTACCTGGCCACCATCTCAGATGCCGAAATCCAGGTAAAGGGCCCTCTGGATTGGCCTCAGCAGCTGGCCGAGCTGCCAGGAGTGTCCCCGTGGCCAGCTCTGCTGCAGCCACTTGGCGTCTGGGACGTTCTCAGGAGATGCGCAGACTCCACCCCCCGAGCCTGGGCCCGCCTGCCTGCAGTTCAGCACGCGCAGCTTCGGCGTCACCCCAGGCGGTGCAGGTTGTGCCGGCTGCCTTCTGAGCCTGTCTCCTGCTCCCTGTGCTGCCATTTGCAGAAGGTGTGCATCTGGAAGTGGACGTTAGCAGTGGAGACGCCAGCCTGCACCCTGGAGCTCCCCAAAGAGTACGGTTTCCAGGTAAGCTCCTTGTGACAGCTACACCAAGGCCAGGTCCAAGCTCACTGTTTCCGTGGGATTTTATTTTGGTGCAGTAGAACTTTTTATTCATTTTATTTTTTAAAAAGATCTATTTATCTATTTGAAAGGCAAAGTGGCAGAGCGAGAGGGAGAGACATATAGAAAGAGATTTTCCACGTGCTGGTTCCTTCCCCAAATGACTGCAACAGCTGGGTCTGGGCCAGCCAGAAGCCAGGAGCTAGAAAGTCCTTCTGGGTCTCCCACATGGGTAGCAAGGTCCAAGTACTTGAATCGTCATCTGCGCGTTCCCAGGCTGACAGGGAGCTGGATCAGAAGCAGAGCAGCCAGGACTCAAGCCAGCACTCTGATATGGGATGCCAGTGTCGCAGCGGCAACGTAACCCGCCACACCATAATGCAGATCTCTCTCTCTCTGTCTTTTCTGTCTGTCATTCTGCCTTTCAAATACATACATACGTACATCTTTTAAAAGTAAATAAATAGGGGCTGGCGCCAGGGTGTAGTAGGCTAAGCCTCTGCCTGCGGCGCTGGCATCCTGCATGGGTGCTGGTTTGTGTCCCAGCTGTTCTTCTTCCCACTCAGCTCTCTGCTAGCTATGGCCTGGCAAAGCGGCAGCAGATGACCCAAGTCCTTGGGCCCCTGCACTCCCATGGGAGACCTGGAAGGAGCTCCTGGCTCCTGGCTCTGGATCGGCCCAGCTCCAGTCGTTGTGGTCATTTGGGGAGTGAGCCAGCACCTGGAAGACCTTTCCCTCTGTCTCTCCCTCTCTGTCTGTGTTGTCTCGTTCATCCAGTCCTGCTCTGTGCCAGGTGCTGCGAGGGGCTCATGCGTGGCCTCCCAACTCCACACGGCACATGCCAGCGAGCACTCGCCCCAGTGTTCCTCCCGCTCAGAGATCCCCCTACTTGCTTTAACGCCAAGCAAGCCGCTGCCAGCCACATGTGCAGAATGTCACGGACGGACTCTGCTGCTGCCAAACTGCCTGGGGGCCTGTGCTGACCTGTAGATGACTCTGGCTCCCCTCAGCCTGACCGTCTCCTTTTCCCTTCAGTCACCGGCAGGGCAGAGCTCTGGACCCATGCCCTCCCGCTCGTCAAGCGCCTGTGCTGTGGCCACCAGCTTGCCCTATCCTGGGTCGTTGTCATCCGTCTTTTGTTGTTAAGATTTATTTATTTACTTGGAAGGCAGTTAGAGAGAGAAAGAGAGAGAAAGCTAGAGAGAGAGATCTTGCATCTGCTGGTTCTCTCCCCAGATGGCCACAACTGCTGGGGCTGAACCAATCTGAAGTCAGAAGCTGGGAACCCTCACATGGGTGCAGAGACCCAAGCACTTAGGTCATTTTTTGCTGCTTTCCCAGGTGCATTAGCAAGCAGCTGGATTAGTAGTAGGGCAGCTGGGACTTGAACTGGGGCTAGTTTGCAATGCCGGTATTTCAGGTGGCGGCTTTACCTGCTACCCTGCAATACCACACACTGGCCCTGTCACCCGTCTTCAAGAGCACCTTTGACTCTGGGTTTCTTTCTAGCTGTTGCCTTTGACATATTTCCCAGTAAAACATCTAGAAGAGTTCTCTACATTGCTGTCTCTCCTTCCTCTGTCTTCTTTACTGTGTGTTGCAAGAAATATGTATATATATTGATGATTTATTTGAAAGAGTGACAGACAGATCCTCCATCTTCTGGTTCACCCCCTAAATGTCTGTAATGGCTGGGCCGAGGCCAGGAGCCTCATTCAGTTCACCCGCCTTGGGTGCAGGTGCCCAAGTCCTTGGTCCATCATCTGCTGCTTTTCCAGGCCATTTAGCAGGGAACTGGATCTGAAGTGGAGCAGCTGGGGAACTTGAACAGGTGCCCACATGGGATGTTGGCATCTCCTAACCACTGTGCCACAATGCTGGCCCCATAGAAATAACTTGAGGCTCAGGGTGGTAATGTCCTCCAAGGAGGGTTTACTTTTCACTGGCAGAGTGGCGCTTTAATCAGAGGTTGAGGTGATGTGAAGCTGACTTCCGGTCCTTGCCGTCATCCATTGCTCACCCCGTCCAGCCGTCTGTGCCATCCTGATGTGAATTCTCAGATGCTGCATTGGTGGTTCACGTCCCCGCAGTGTTGCAGCAAGCAGGAGGCTGGTATCAGGTGTAGAGACGGGGGCTGTGGCAGCAACGGGACCTGCATGCATCTCTCTTCCCGCCTCCTGCAGCCCTTCCTCGCAGGTGCCTCCCATACATGCATCCCAGGGCTCCCCAGGAGCAGCTCATGTTGATGTCGTTCTTACTGCTTGGTTTCTGCATTTAATGTTTCTTTCACATCTGTGGCTTCTGAAGGATTGATTTTTGACAAGGGAGCCAGCGACCCATGGTGTTTGCCACCTTGGCAGGAGTCAGAGTCCCCTTCCAGAGTCTTGCATTTATTCCAAGTTATCTTGTGGCCCTGTCAACTTCAGAAATGTGTGTGCAGGAGCCGGATTGTGGCACACTGGGCTAAGCCATCTGCAGTGCCAGCATCCTGTCTCAGAGAGCCAGTTTATGTCCTGGCTGCTCTGCTTCTGATCCAGCTCCTGCTAATGTGCCTGGGAAAGCAGCAGAGGACGGCCCAAGTACTTGGGCCCCTGCCATCTATATGGGAGACTCAGATGGAGTTCTGGGCTCTTGGCTTTTTTTTTTTTTTTTTTTTTTTTTTTTTGATTTAAGAGACAGAGTTACAGACAGAGAGGGAGAAACAGAGAGAGAGGTCTTCCATCCTCTGGTTCACTCCACAAATGGCCACAAAAGCTGGAGCTGAGACAATCTGAAGCCAGGAGCCAGGAGCTTCCTCTGGGCCTCCCATGCGGGTACAGGGACCCAAGGAACTGGGGCGTCTTCTATTGCCTTTCCAGAGAGCTGGATGGGAGAAGGAACAGCTGGGACTCGAACCCGCGCCCATATAGGATTCCGGCGTCTCAGGCAGAGGCCTAGCCCACCAAGCCACATCCTTAGCCCCACGGCTCTTGGCTTTGAGCCAGACTAGCTACAGCCATTTTGGCCATTTGGGGAGTGAACCTTTGAATGGAAGATCTCTCTCTCTGTCTTCAAAAAAAGTATATGCAGGCATTTCTGTCCAAAAGGACACAAAATGGAGTTTATTGGTAAATTCTACTTCACTTTTGCTTATTCCAATTTGTAGACAATTAATTATAATAAATAAGCCTAGAAAGGGAGCACACTCAGCACTATTTATTTTAGCAGCCAGTGTTTAGCTGCTGTCCTCATGGCCTACTAAATGCCTTTTCTTTTCTTTTTTTATTCTTATTTATTATTTTTTGACAGGCAGAGTGGACAGTGAGAGAGAGAGAGACAGAGAGAAAGGTCTTCCTTTACCGTTGGTTCATCCTCCAATGGTCGCTGCGGCCGGCGCACCGCGCTGATCCGATGGCAGGAGCCAGGTGCTTCTCCTGGTCTCCCATGGGGTGCAGGGCCCAAGCACTTGGGCCATCCTCCACTGCACTCCCGGGCCACAGCAGAGAGCTGGCCTGGAAGAGGGGCAACCGGGACAGAATCCGGCGCCCCGACTGGGACTAGAACCCAGTGTGCTGGCGCCACAAGGCAGAGGATTAGCCTAGTGAGCCGCGGCGCCGGCCTAAATGCCTTTTCTTTTCTGTTTCCGCCCCTGCTCAGTTATCTGTCTGAATTAAAACTGCATTAATGTTCAGCTTAACCAAGGAGTGTCGGAAATTTTGTTCTCCTGTAACACATTTCCCTGCCTTTTGTTTCAGAACTACCTTATCTTTAACCCAAAGAATAATAAGGAATTGGTGAGCAATAGCAAAACACAAGCGATATATTATTCATGGGTAAGTGGGACTATCTTGATTTGTTTTAGATGTGGATACAAGTGATTTGTTCATTCTTTGAGTTTATATGTTTTGGTAATATCCCACTATAGTATCTACTTAGGAGGCAATGAATATATATTAGAATGTTTTGCTTTAATTATAGTATTTATTTTAGTCCTAATGGAAATTAGCATATTAAATCAGAAGGGGCTGGCGCTGTGGTGTAGTGGGTAAAGCCGCTGCCTGCAGTGCAGGCATCCTGTGTGGTGCTGGTGTGAGTCCCAGCTGCTATGCTTCTGATCCAGCTCTCTGCTGTGGCCTGGGAAAGCAGTAAAAGGTGGCCTAAGTCCTTGGGCCCTGCACCTGCGTGGGAGACCCGGAGGAATCTCCTGGCTCCTGACTTCAGATCAACTCAGCCTCGGCTTTTGCAGCCATTTGGGGAGTGAATCAGGGGATGGAAGACCCCTCTCTTTCTCTCTCTGTGCCTCTGACTCTATCAGTAAATAAATAAATCTTTAAAATAAATAAATCAGATGCAGATGATTACATTTCATTTAATTTTTAAAGTAATATTTATTTGAAATGTGTTTTTTTTAAAAAATGATTTATTTGTTTATTTTAAAGGCAGAGTTAGAGAGAGGTCTTCCGTCTGCTGATTCACTGCTCAAATGTCCAATACAGCAAGGGCTGGGTCGAACCAAAACTAGGAGCCAGGGGCCGGCGCCGTGGCTCACTTGGTTAATCCTCCGCCTGTGGCGCTGGCGTCCCATATGGGTGCCGGGTTCTAGTCCGGGTTACTCCTCGTACAGTCCAGCTCTCTGCTGTGGCCTGGGAAAGCAGTGGAGGATGGCCCAAGTCCTTGGGCCCTGTACCAGCATGGGAGACCAGGAGGAAGCACCTGGCTCCTGGCTTCAGATTGGCGTAGCTCCAGCCGTAGTGGCCATTTGGGGGGTGAACCAACAGAAGGAAGACCTTTCTTTCTGTCTCTCTCTCTCACTGTCTATAACTCTATAAAAAAGAGAGAGAGAGAGAGAGAGGAGAGAGGTCTTCTATACTCTGGATCATTCCCGTAATGGCCACTGTGGCCGGAGCTAAATCAGTCCAAAACTAGGAGCCAGGAGCTTCTTCTGGGTCTCCCATGTGGATGCGGAGGCCCAAGCACCTGGGCCATCTTCTACTGCTTTCTCAGTCTATAGCAGAGACCTGGATTGGAAGAGGAACAGCCGGGACTCAAACCAGCACCCATGTGGGTTGCTGGTGCCACAGGCAGAGCCTTTAGCCCTCTAAACTGCAGTGCCAGTCCAAGAGCCAAGATTTTCTTTCAAGTCTCCCACGTGGATGCAGGGGCCTAAGCATTTGGACCATCTTCCGCTGCCTTCCCTGGCACATTACCAGGGAGCTGGAAGGGAAGTAGAGCAGCTGGGACTCGAACTGGCACCCATTTGAGATGCTGGCATTGCAGGTGGCAGCTTAACTTGCTGTGCCATAACAGCCCCCAAATAGAGGAATTTTTTGAGACCTTGGACTTTATTTCCTTTTGGAAAGAAATTAGGGGGGCCAGCGCTGTGGCTCAGCAGGTTAAAGCCCTGGCCTGGTACAGTGGCATCCCGTATGGACATCAGTTCATGTCCCAGCTGCTCCACTTCTGGTCTGGCTCCCTGTTCATGTGCCTGGGAAAGCAGCGGAGGGTGGCCCAAGTGCTTCAGTCTCTGCACCCATGTGGGAGACCCGGCAGAGGCTCCTGGTTCAGTCTCCAAATGGCTGCAACAGCCAAGGCCAGGCAAGGCCAAAGCCATAACTGAACTCAGTCCAGGCCTCCCACGTGAGTGGCAGGGACCCAGGTCCTTGGGCCATGATTTGCTGCCTCCCAGGAGCGTGAGCAGGAAGCTGCACGGGAGACGCAATAGCTGGGACTTGATCCCAGGCGCGGCAGTGTCCGCTACGGGCGTCCAAGTGAAAGCTTACGCTCCTCCTCCTTGTGGGCGCGGGGGCTAAGGGGCTTGGGCCACCTTCAGCTGCTCTCCCAGGCCCCGGGAGCCGGATCGGAAGCGGGCAGCCAGGACGAGGAATGCCAGCCTCACAAGCAGCGGCCTAAGGAGCTGCCGGTGCCCAGGGTGTCCCTTGGTGGTGAAAGTGTGTCCGAGCTGCGCCGAGGCGGCTGTGGTGCAGCATTGTGATCGTACTAACTGTGCCGAGTTGCACACTGCACACAGTTAACGGTTAATTGTATAGCAAGTGAATTTTACCTCAATTTAAAAAATGCAAAGCAGGACCAAATACACTTGGACTCACTGGTCTTCAGCGATACTCCTCACCTCCGGTATTCACCGCAGGTGTGCAGTCACTCCCAGGGGCAGAGTCGCGGTCACCGGTGGCACTGCCGTGTGCATCTGCCTCTCCTGCGGGTGGGTTTAGACGTTTCCCTGGCAGCAGGTTCTCTTACCCACAGAAACTGCAAATCTCTGGCCCTGTTCACGTGGGTGTTTGGATTTTGTTGTTCTCGTGGCTGGGTCTGTTTTCAGTGGTGACGATCTTTTTCTGTGCCCATCAGGACGAAGAGAAAGACACCCTCGTGCACAGTGCCCCGCTTCTGACAGAAAAAGTGAGCACGCGTCTTTGTACTTGGCCTCTGTGTTTATACAAGTGTAGTTGCTCAGGGCAGCTCTTCGCACCTCTTACTCGAGCCATCGGGAAATAATTTAAAATGTGTTACTTGGCTCCTCCATCCATATTGAATTGTCAGTTGAAAATCACGTGAGTGTCATTGAAAATGAGGCGGGTGGGGTTTGGCCCTGCAGTTAAGTTGCCGCTGGGGCAGCACAGAGTGCCTGTGTTTGAGTCACCGCTCTGATTTTTTTTAGATTTATTTTTATTTATTTGATAAGCAGAGTGACAGAGAGAGAGAAAGAGATCTTCCACGTGCTGGCTCCCTCCCTAAATGGCCACAACGGCTGTGGGTGGGCCAGGCTGAAGGCAGGAGTCTGGAATTCCATCTAGGTCGCTCACATGGGTGCAGGGGCCCAAGTACTTGGGGGCCACCTTCTGCTGCTTTCCCAGGTGCGTTAGCAGAGAGCTGGATCAGAAGTAGAGCCCCCAGGACTCACCAGCACTCATGGGATGTGAGTGCCGCAGGTGGTGGGTAACCTGCTGCACCATGACGCTGGCCCCTTAAATGATTTCCTGTGATGGAAAGGTACCTTAGGACTGGAGGAGACCGGGGACTCATTTTATGGTGTTTTGTAAGCAGAGCACGCTTTTGCTTCTTTACCAGCCTTTGCAACCTGCAGAAGCCAAGCTGCCCGTATGGGAATACTGACTAAGCGCTTGTTCATGGGCTTTAGGTGGACAGTTTGCTGGACAGAGCACAGCAGTGCCCTTTGCCTGCACGCAGCCAACCTCAGGGCCCCAGAACCGCCCGGCCCAGCCAACCTCGGGGCCCCAGAACCGCCCGGCCCAGCCAACCTCAGGGCCCCAGAACCGCCCGGCCCAGCCAACCTCAGGGCCTCAGAACCACCTGGCCCGTGGCGATCCCTGACAGTGGGGTCCCTGTGATCTTTTCTTCCCTCTCTCTTTTCCCCACAGTATTTCGGCTTAATGTGATCCACTGTTTGATATTTATGACCAGTGGTGACTCCTATCCTGTGTTTTGAACCAGACGTTCAACAAGCTCGTGGGAAAATTCAGCCAGTCCGTGTTTCACTTGCATTTGACCCAAATCCTCTCGGCCACAATGGAAGGGAAGCTGGTGGTGTGGGACGTCCAGCGCCTGGGGGGCTCCCCCTGCATCAAGCCCTGCAAGCTGGTGCACTTGCAGAGGGAGGGCATCACGGTGCTCACCACCGTCGACAGGTGACTGACAGGGCCCGCCTCAAACCCTTTTGGCATCACGCGCAGTTTACGCATGTCTAGAACGTTCCTGGGGAACCCCGGTTGCGGTTGAGAAAAGCAGAGAGTGAGGGTCCTGGGTGGGGGTGGATTTCCTTCTCTTTATAGTCTTGTTGTTTCTAATTGTATGTCTTAAAATCATGAGCATACATTGTGTTTAAAATCCATTTGTGTTGGGGAAACAAAATAACGTTTCCTTCTGTGCCAATTAGACTTATTTCTCACCACCAAGTTTACATTTAAGAAAATATTCTTGAGTATATTATGTTTATCGTATCCCAAAGTAGTATTTCACTCATGATGAAAAGGTCCAGTACATCTGAACACCATAAAATTCACGAACTCATTTTGAGAGGCCGTGGAACCCACAGGTAATCATTAACATGAAGCCTCAGTGAAAACAGGGTTCACAGCCGGCGCCGCGGCTCACTAGGCTAATCCTCCACCTGGCGGTGCCGGCACACCAGGTTCTAGTCCTGGTCGGGGTGCCAGATTCTGTCCCGGTTGCCCCTCTTCCAGGACAGCTCTCTGCTGTGGCCAGGGAGTGCAGTGAGGATGGCCCAAGTGCTTGGGTCCTGCACCCGCATGGGAGACCAGGAGAAGCACCTGGCTCCTGCCTTCGGATTAGCGCGGTGTGCCGGCCGCAGCAGCCATTGGAGGGTGAACCAACGGCAAAGGAAAACCTTTCTCTCTGTCTCTCTCTCTCACTGTCCACTCTGCCTGTCAAAATATAAAAAAAAAAGAAAATAAAAAAAGAAAAACAGGGTTCGCATTCCATGCTTCTCTTTCGGGCTGAGTGACCTTGAGCAAGAGTTTAACCTAGCTGGGCCTCCGTTTCCCTGCCTGTGAAATGGGCACAGGAGCGCTGTGTGGGTGTGGGTGTGGGTGTATATGGGTGTGGGTGTGGGGGTGTGGGTGTGTTTGTGGGTGTGGGTGTGTGTGTGTCAGTGCTTTCCCGAGGATTCCCTGAGACGAGGCACGTAGACCCCTGCACACTGCTGGGCACGGCTTGCCCGGGGATGAGTGTGTTAGACAAGTTCCCAGGAGGGAACGTGAAACGCCTGAAGGTGGGCACCCGCCCCTGGGCCCTCTGTTCCCCTGAAGCCCTGTGAGAGGCACCATGAAGTCCTGGCAGAGTTTTTTCAAGGGAGTGCAAACCGCCACCCTCACTCAGCAGCACCCGCAGGCGCACCTTGAGTGAGGCAGGGTCAGGACCCAGCCGGCTCTCCACATTAAGGAAAACCCAGCCCAAAACCCCAGCAACCATGGAGGTCTGAAAACACTGGGCCAGTTATACTGCTTCTGGCCAGCAGAGGGCAGTGAAAGCCGTTCTAGCCAATTACTGTGCCCACCTGCCTGGCTGGTTATTCAGAGACCTAATTGAATCCCTCTGCAAATGTAAGAGAAAATTCATCCCCCTACCCTCTCCCCATGACCAGAATGTGTCAGTCCAGGGAAACAAGCTCGTTTAGGATGGACCCGAAGGTGGGATGAGAGCCACTGTGTCACGCGGCACTGCCTCTGGCTCTGATGACCACACAGGGTTTAGGATGGCTCCATCAGCCACATCTTCCTTAAAGCAGTTTGTGCCCCACTGCCTGCCGTGAGTGGGCAGATGGATAGCTCTCCCCATCTCCGAATGCCCATCACTGCCCACCACGTCTGGGCTGGCGGTGCGGGGCCCAGAAGAATATATCAGGGAACCTGGTGGGGTGGCCAGGTGTCAATGTATCCCACGCAGGATCCGGGCTATACTTACACCAAGGGGCGCCCTTGTCTATCTGACATTTAGCTTTTACTTGGCGCCCTGTATTGTTCTTTGCTAAATCTGGCAACCGTAAGCCTTGAGCAAGTTTCTTGATGTTTCTGAGCCTTGTTTGCTGGATGGAAAGTGGGCGGTGAGCCCCTGGGCGGTGTCCTGTGGCGTTCTGACAAGGCCTAGAGTCCAGAGCTGACTCCGCACCCGTGGGAGGTCCTGGCTGGCACTGCCCCTGAGGATGCCCTTCTTGCTTGCAGCTACATCGTCACAGGCGACATCAGGGGCAACATTAAGTTTTACGACCACACCCTGTCCATCGTTAACTGGTACAGTCACTTCAAGCTGAGCGCCATAAGAACGCTTTCCTTCTCCAAGACCCCAGCAGCTCCTCCTACGGAAAAGTCAAACTACCCTCCAGACTGCACCTTGAAAGGCGACTTTTTTGTTGTAAGGTACGTTGTCAGTGAACGTAGTCAGCAAGGAGCCAGCGATTGGCACCGTGGCTAAGACACTGTTAGGTTTGGAATAGCTCAGGGTTCTGGCCTCTCGTACCCCCAGAAAACAGACAAGGGAGAGACGGAGACCGACCTCAGCAGAGACAGGGTGCTTTAGTGAGGCTGAGTCTCTTCTGAAGAGACTGTGTGCAGGGTGTGCTTAGGGCTGGATTTTTTTTTTTTTTTTTTTTTTTTTTAAGATTTATTGATTTGAAGGGCAAAGTTACAGAGAGGCAGAGTCAGAGAGAGGCCTTCCATCCCCTGGTTCACTCCCCATCCCCAGGTGGCCACAATGGCTGGAGCTGAGCTGATCTGAAGCCAGGACTGCTCAGTCTCCCACACAGGTGCGAGGGCCCAAGCACTTAGGCTGTCTGCTGCTGTTTTCCCAGAGCCCAGCAGAGAGCTGGAGTGGAAGTGAAGCAGCTGGGACTTCAAGCAGCGCCCGTATGAGATGCCAGTGCTGCAGGCATTGGCTTCACCCGCTGCACCACAGGGCCAGCCCCTAGGGCTAGGTTTTCATCTGGTTGAAGAGGGACTATGCTGCTGCTGGTGGGAAGCAGAGGGTAGGGGGCTTTTAGAAACCACTGGGGAGGGGCTGCTGCGCTGTTGCTCAGCTTGTTAATACCATGGCCTGCAGTGCCAGCTTCCCGTAAGGGCGCCGGTGCCCCACTTCCGATCCAGCTCCCTGCTAATGTGCCTGGGAAATCAGTAGAAGATGGCCCAAGTGCTTGGAGACCCTGCACCCACGTTGGAGACCTGGAAGAAGCTCCTGGCTCGGATCAGCGGCTCAGCTCTGGCCGTTCGGGGAGTAAACCAACAGATGGAAGTCCCCTCTCTCTGTCTCTACCTCTCTATGTAACTCTATCTTTCAAATAAATAATATCTATATCTATATCTATATCTATTTTTTTTTTTTTTTTTTTAAAGAAGCCACAGGAACTTCCCTCTTATCTGTTTCACAAGCTGCCTTGAGCGGCTTATCTGTTTTGCCAGCTGCTTTGCAAGGAGTCTGGGGGATGGTTGACCTTGGTTCCTGCTCTGAGGGTCTCAACAACAAAGGAGGAAATGGGGGGGGGGGTTAACGTCTTGGGACCTTTGTTGCCCTTATGATACCCCCTGCATCCCAGACCAGAGTGGCTGGGCTTGAGTCTGGCTCCACTCCCGAGTGCAGCTCCCTGGGAGGCAGTAGGTGATGGCTCCAGTGCTGTGTCCTTAACATGGGCAAGACCCGGACCGAGTTCCTGCCTCCTGTAGTCTGCATGAGTGGAGCAAACGCTCTGGCTGTCCTGGGATGGGGACGGAGGGACACGGCCTCCCAGGCCGCCCTTCTCCTGGGTTGCAGGTGGTGCTGCTCAGCTGGCTGCAGTCGCTAGTGACTCGTGTTTTTAAGAATAGTTAACATTTTACTGTGAAGAATCTTAGTGACTGCAAACTGGCAAGTCCTCATCCCCCAGTGCAAGCTGGGACGTCCTCATCCCCAGGCCTAATCCCTGTAGGGCCCGGAGTCCCCACCGGAGGTTGGTCCCTGTTCCCTGGCTGAGTGGGTCCTAGCCACTGCGGTTAGAGCCATCAGATAATTAATAGCCTGAGTACTTCTAGACCGAATTATCTGTGAGGCTGCTTAATTACCCTTGCAGTCTTTACAGGCACATCTGTATGGGTGCACCAACTCCATATTTGCATACACAAATGAATATTTGCATGTGCAGATTAGCTAATTGTACAACTGACTGTCCATCTGCATACTTAATGATTCCATTTCCATGTGGAAAAGTGGGCTTTTTCACTTGCAAATGGAGGCTGTTGGGTGTTGGCGGGGTATTTTCGGAGATGCTGGGTTAATAATGTCACTGAATTACAGACGACAGAGGCGGTCCCTGTGCAATTAGCAGCAGGGTAGCTGGCGGCCACTCCCCGCCATGCTCACGCCGCCTGCCGCCCCGTGTCCCGGCACGCAGGAACTTCATCATCGGGACCTCGGACGCCACCGTGTACCACCTAACCACAGACGGCACCAAGCTGGAGAAGCTGTTCGTGGAGGCCAAGGACGCCATCTGTGCCATCTCCTGCCACCCCTACCAGCCCCTCATTGCCATCGGGAGTGTGTGTGGGATGATCAAAGTGTGGGATTATGAAAAGAAAAAGTACCTCTTCAGCAGGGTCTTTGAGAAGGGCCTCGGAGTGCAGAGCCTGAGCTACAACCCGGAAGGTAGGCTCCTTTCCCCGGTGACCACGAAGAGACCCAGGAGGGCCCTGCCTTTGGCCGTCACAGCTCCCGGGGCATCCCCTGACCCCGGTCCCTGCCCAAGGCTCGTCCCAGGCACCACGCCTGGCGGGACTTGTCGGTTGTGCCCACGGCAGCTCCTCTGCACCTACAACACAGCCTGGCACAGACTCGATGTTCTTTCTTTCTTTTCTTTTCTTTTCTTTTCTTTTCTTTTCTTTCTTTCTTTCTCTTTCTTTCTTTCTTTCTTTCTTTCTCTCTTTCTCTCTCTCTCTCTTTCTCTCTCTCTCTCTCTTTCTCTCTCTCTCTCTTTCTCTCTCTCTCTCTTTCTCTCTCTTTCTCTCTTTCTCTCTCTCTCTCTTTCTCTCTCTCTCTCTTTCTCTCTCTTTCTCTCTTTCTCTCTCTCTTTCTCTCTTTCTCTCTCTCTCTCTCTTTCCTTCTCTCCTTTCCTTCCTTCTTTCCTTCTTTCTTTCTTTCCTTCTTTCTTTCTTTCTTTCTTTCCTTCTTTCTTTCCTTCTTTCTTTCCTTCTTTCTTTCCTTCTTTCCTTCTTTCTTTCCTTCTTTCTTTCCTTCTTTCTTTCCTTCCTTCCTTCCTTCCTTCCTTCCTTCCTTCCTTCCTTCCTTCCTTCCTCCTTCCTTCCTTCCTTCCTTCCTTCCTTCCTTCCTTCCTTCCTTCCTTCCTTCCTTCCTTCCTTCCTTTCTTGCATAGAGATACAGGGAGACATGTCTCCCATTCACTAGTTTATTCTCCAAATGCCTACAAGGTCAGGAACCCACCCATGTCCTCCACAGGGAGACAGGGGCCCAGCTGCCACGCTGCCTCCTGAGCCCACACTGCAGGAGCTGGAGCTGCAGTTGGGGATAGATGCTGGGACCCGGGGCTCTAACCGTGACTAGCATGGGTGTCTAACCTCAGGTGCCTGCCGTGGGTGGGGGGGCTTTCCCATCCTTTCCCATCCTGTTCCCTGGCTTGTCGTTTCAGGAGCCCTCCTTGGAGCTGGCTTCACAGAGGGAACAGTTTACATTCTCGATGCCATGTCCTTAGAAAACGAGAGCCGGAAGCCTTTCAAATACTCCAGAAGCAACGTGACTCACATCAGCTTCTCCCACGACTCTCAGTACATGGCAACGGCCGTGAGTGCTTTCCCCGACTGCTGTCCAGTGTCGCAGCAGCCTTGTCTCCAACCAGAGCAGAGAGGGGGTGCGGGGAGAGGGGGAGGCTGTTTTGGGGGTGCTGCAAAGGCTCTGAGGTTGGGAGGATGGAGGCACAACTCTGGTGTCCTGAGAAGCATCGGCCGTCCCCTCTGGGCGGGGAGTGACGTGGTGTGACTCATCTCAGTGAAGCTGTGTGTGTCTGGGGGGCTCTGCCCTGGCAGTGCCCCTGGCGGGGAGGTTCTGGGAGCCCCAGCTCTCTGTCCCTTCTTTCATGATCCCTCTGATTCTGGACAAGACGACACTGGATTCTGCTCCTTCCCTGATGCTGGCTCCACCCTCGCACCTTTTTCTGGGTCTGTCTCTCTTGGGGTGGGGGTGGGAGGATGGGGGGTGGGGGAGGAGCTGCATCTCCATGGCAACCGCTCTCCCCACGGTGTGGGTCCCGGCACACAGCTCCACTTCCCAAAGTCCCTTCTCACTGGTCTCCCTGACTCTGACCTGCATCTCACTTTCACACTGCTTCCCCTTTTTAAATTTCTCTGGGTGAGAGACATAGACAGAGAAAGCTCCCGTCTGCTGGGTTACTCCCCAAAAGCCCACAACGGCTGGGACTGAGCCAGGACCGAGGCTGGGAGTTGGGAGCTCCATCCAGGTCTCCCACGTGCGTGGCAGGGACCCAAGTACTTGAGCCGGCCGGCGCCTGCTGCCTCGCAAGGTCTGGGGCTGGAGTCCGGAGCTGGAGCTGGGAGTTGGACCCAGGCACTGTGGTGTGGAATGAGGGTGTCTACTCTGCTAGGCTAAAGGACCAGCCCCACCCCCACCCCACCCCCACCCCGGTTTCATGCATCTAAAAAAAATCATTGTGTGGCTGAATCAAGAGAAGCAAAGACAAAGAGAACAAGTGTCACGCCCTCCTTTGTCCACAGAGAATGAGCTATGGACTTGGAGAAAAGAGTAAGAGTAAGGCCATAGAGTTAGATACTTTCTTTCTCCCCCACCACCTTGATGTTCTCATCTGTAAAATGGGCGTTCTGTCACCTGCTCTGATAGACTAAGTTTTTGGGGATAAGCAGAATTAGTATGGAAAGCATAATGATGATAGTTAAGTTACCACGTGTAACAAGGAGTAACTTGTGTCCCTCTGCCTCTGTTCAGGATGTGAACTTCACTGTGGCCGTGTACATGGTCGTGGTCAAAAACGGACAGAGGGTCTGGGAGTATTTAGCAAGGCTCCGTTCTCATCGCAAAAGCATCCGAAGTCTCCTGTTTGGGGTCCACCTGGACAGCAATGACCCCAGACTGCTGAGCCTCGGGAGAGACAGGCTCTTGGTGAGCTGCATGGTGTCGCTTAGCTGACACCACCACAGTGCCTCCTCCTCCTCCTGTCCCTGGCGTCCTGCACAGAACAGGCCGACCCTGTGTGCCTTTGTTGGGGGCATGGCAGTGCCATGACCTTTCCAAGTCGGCCCCCTGCCCCGACAGGGCTGTGATGCACGCAGGGAGGGGCTCCTGTCCCAAGTTGGGAGGTCCTGGGAGGCCACAGTGCCTCAAGGTCTGAATGCTTAGCCTTCCTTGCGTGGCCGGTGCTAATGCTATATTGGTTGGGGCTACGCTGGCACCTAAATGTGACACAGAGGGGGAGGTAGGACGGTGGTGAGTGCACAGTCACAGGACCAAACCGGAAGGCTCCCAGTCGGTCATGGTGTTTCCTCCCGCCCTCCCTCCTCTATTTCCTGCACTCACCCTGCTCTGCCCACTGCTGCTGCGTGGCCACAGGGGCTGAGATGAAAACACGGATCAGTTCCCTTTCTCAAAGAGGTCATAAAATAGGGAAAGCGACACAGGAAGGGGCATAACTGAGGGTCCGTGCCCTGAGTTGGAGTTTTGACAGTTTTGAACCCTCCATGGGGCACTCGTGTGACCTTGCAGGAGCCGCCCGGCCCCTCCATTTGCTCATCTGTCAGGCGCACACTGTGACAGCACTTGCGGGGCCCTCACTCCCGCTGTCCTCCCGCTGTCCTCCCGCTGTCCTCCCGCTGTCCCCTCCGCGAGTACTCAGGGTCTGGAGTACTGCTGGCCAATGTCACCCCGAGCCCGAGGCTCCCGGGCGAGCTTTATGCCCGGCGGGGTCCTCATGCGTGTTCGTCTGGGCCCTGCAGATCGAGTACAATCTTCGCAAGAGCTGCAAAGACCACCTGGAGGTGCTGGACATCCAGCGCACCGATCAGGGCAGCTACCCCACCTGCATGGTCTGGTACCCGCCCCTCACCAAGGAGCTCTTCCTGCTCGTCTGCAACAGCGGCTACAAAGTGAAGCTCTTCAACTCCACCACCAAAATGTGCCGGTGAGCACTGGGAGCCTCCTGCCGGCGGGCCGTGGGCCCCCCAGCCCTGGCCTGCTTCAAGGCCCCCTGAAGGGCCCGTGAGCCGTGTGGTTGCCGTTCCGTCGTCCTCACGTTGCAGAGGAGAAACTGAGGCATGGGCTAAAGTGAGTCGTTCTCAGTGGCCAGGAAGTGGTGGGGGCTGCGTACGGGCCCTGGGGCCCTGGAGAAGCTGCAGATGCCCTATAGCCTTCCGTTTTCTCTCACAAAGAGAAACATGCTCACTGGATGACCAGCGCTTAGTCTTTAGGTCACCTGAGATTCTGTTTGTCCAGCGACCCCATGAGCTGGGTACTCTGCTCCAGGGGCTGAAGACAGGGATGGAAACAGAAGGTTTTCATCGTTGTGGGGCGTAGGCTTCAGTGGACGAGGGCTGATGCCGTGGAAAACACAGGTAGCCAGGCAGCAGGTGCGTGGTACCCAATGCTGCAGAAGATGGTTTGAAAAGGCAGGGTGGAGAGACACCCAGTCCTGAGGTTTGCAAAGCGTGGCCAGAAACAGGTCCCATCTGAGCAAACTTGAGCAGGGGAGGGAGCCAGCCTTGATGGTGGAAGGAAAAACAAAAAACCTCCAGACAGAAGTGCAGCAAACTAGTGGGGGTTTGGGGAATGCCCACAAGGCCGGCCTGGCTGGGGTGCAGTGAGCAGGGGCAGAGGGTGCGAGAGGCGGGCGCAGTGCCCGAAGGTGACACAGAAAGGACTGCGGCTGTTCTGGGTCCTGCGTGAGCCACTGGAGGGCTTTGAGCAGCAGAGTGACACGCTGTGACTTGTGTGGCTTCTGGTAGGAAACCAGGTGCCGGGGCACGGATGGTGCGAGGCCCGTGGGGCTGTTGGGAGAGAAGAAGGTGGCTTCGCCCAGGGCCAGCAGGGGAGGGGGTCAAATCCTGGCAGAGCTCAGGGGATTTGCTGACAGAGGAAGAGCGACTTTGTTCACTCACAGCCAGGGCCCAAGCAGCCACAAGAATGGAACTGACCTTTAAGGGAATGGGGAAGACGAGGGAAAAAGAAATTTGAGACAAATCAGGAGCCTGGATCATGTGGCTGGCATGCGGGCCGTCATCTAGGGGCACACGCAGGAGGCTCTTTCCTGAGGGTGGAGCTCATGGGGGGCGCTGGGTGCAGTAGTTAAGATGTCCCATGGCGGGCGCCACGGCTCACTAGGCTATTCCTCTACCTGCAGTGCCGGCACCCTGGGTTCTAGTCCTGGTTGGGGCGCTGGATTCTGTCCTGGTTGCTCCTTTTCCATTCCAGCTCTCTGCTGTGGCCCGGGAAGGCAGTGGAAGATGGCCCAAGTGCTTGGGCTTCTGCGCCCGCATGGGAAACCAGGAGGAAGCACCTGGCTCCTGGCTTCGGATTGGCGCAGCGCGCCGGCTGTGGTGGCCATTTGGGGGGTGAACCAATGGAAAAGGAAGACCTTTCTCTCTGTCTCTCTCTCTCTCACTAACTCTGCCTGTCAAAAAAAAAAAAAAAAAAAAAAAAAAAAAAGTCCCATATTGGAGCGTCTGGGTTCAAGTCCTGGCTCTGCTTCTGATTCCAGCTTCTTGCTAAGGTTCACCCAGGGAGGCGGCGGGTGATGCTTCAAGTCCTTGGGCCCCTGCACCCATGTGGGAAACCCAGATGAAGCTCCTGGGCTTCTGTTGTGGCCATTAAGGGAATGAACCAGCGGATGGAAACCCGCTCCCCTCCGCAACTCTGCCTTTCACATTAATTAATTAATTAAATCTTCTTTTTAAACAATGAATAAATTTTTAAGAAGCTGTGAGGCAGGAAGAGACTCCAGAGGATCCAGTGCTCAACGTCCCCTTGCAGGGTGTCTGTGCTGGGGAGGCCTCCAGTGTGCCTCGCCTGCATCCAGTGTGCTCCTGTGACAGAAGGGAGCACTGGGCACCGGCTCCGGGCCATGTCCCCCTCAGCAGCATCCCACTGACGGGAACGGGGAGGCCTGGGGTGCGGGGCAGGGCAGCACTTGAGCCCTGAACCGAGCTCTGACTGCCCTCTGTTCCTCATTCAGCCCAGGCTTTGAGGTCCTACCTGGTCATCCCTGGGGTGTGTGTGTGTACTGGGGTGGGGGGTGGGGGTGGGATGATAGGGCTTCTGCTGCCTGTGGTTTGCCGTCTCCTGGGTATGGCTGGAGAGAAGATGGAGTGGCAGAGATGAGCCTGCTGCAAGGTGCCGCCTGCCTGCCTGGAAGAAGGAAGTTGTGAACTGGAGGCAGCAGCGGCCCCAGCTTTAGAAAGATCACGTTGAAGGTTATCTCAGATAAGACAGGGCCTCAACAGGTCAGGACCACCCAGAGTCTTTTGCTGTTTTCTTTAAGTTGTTTTTATTCAGAAGGCACAGGGAAGAATGACTGAGAAATGCCAGGCCATATAGTAGGAAGGGAAATCAGCACAATGTTTTTATTTATTTTTAAGATTTATTTTATTTTTTATTTGAAAGAGTTACACAGAGAGAGAGAGAGAGAGAGAGAGAGAAATATCTTCTATCCATTGGTTCACTCCCCAGATGGCCTAATGGCCAGAGCTGGCCAAGCCAAAGCTAAGAGCCAGGAGCTTCATCCAGTCCCCAACGTTGGTGCAGGGGCTCAAACACGTCCGCATCTTCTGCTGCTTTTCCCAGGCACATTAGCAGGAAGCTGGATTGGAAGTGGAGCAGCTGGGACATGAACCGGCACCCATATGGGATGCCAGTGTCACAGGCAATGGCTTTACCTGCTACACCACAAAACCGCCCCAGAACAATGTTTTTCGAGTTATTAAAACACTGGAAAGAATGTGTAAGAAGAGTTTATGAGAGGCTGGCGCCGCGGCTCACTAGGCTAATCCTCTGCCTTGCGGCGCTGGCACACTGGGTTCTAGTCCCGGTCGGGGCGCCAGATTTTGTCCCAGTTGCCCCTCTTCCAGGCCAGCTCTCTGCTGTGGCCAGGGAGTGCAGTGGAGGATGGCCCAAGTGCTTGGGCCCTGCACCCCATGGGAGACCAGGAGAAGCACCTGGTTCCTGCCTTTGGATCAGTGCGGTGTGCCGGCTGCAGCGTGCACACCAACCAGTAGCGACAGCCGGAGCTGGACCAGTCAGAAGCCAGGAGCCAGGAGCCTTCCATGTGGGTCTCCCACAAGGGTGCTGGGGCCTGAGCACTTGGACCATCTTTCACTGCTTTCCCAGGCACATTAGCAGGGATTTGGATCGGAAGTGGAGCAGCCAGAACTTGAACCATTGTCCATCTGGGATGCCTACGCTGTAGATGGCTCACCATGGCGAAGCGCCAACCCTTAATTCTATTTTCATTCAAAATTACAGAAGAAATTCTGCAGCCACATAGAGCAATTGAATGGTGAACCAACGGCAAAGGAAGACCTTTCTCTCTGTCTCTCTCTTTTACTGTCCGCTCTGCCTGTCAAAAAAAAAAAAAAAAAAAAAAAAAAAAAGTTTATGAGGCTGTTAGAAACTTTATATGTTATCTTTAACAGACACATGCTTTTTGGGTTTTTAAAATTTTATTTATTTGTGGGGCTGGGCTCTGGTGTAGTGGATAAAGCTGCCACCTACAGTGCCGGCATCCCATAAGGGTGCCGGTTCGAGACCTGGCTGCTCCTCTTCCAATCCAGCTCTCTGCTATGGCCTGGGAAAGCAGTAGAAGATGATACAAGTCCTTGGGTCCCTGCACCCGCATGGGAGACCTGGAAGAAACTCCTGGCTCCTGGCTTCAGATTGGCACAGCTCCAGCCATTGCGGCCATCTGGGGAGTAAACCAGCAGATGGAAGACCTCTCTCTCTGTCTCTAGCTCTCTCTGTAACTCTTTTAAATAAATAAATAAATATTTTTTAAAAAGATTTATTTATTTGAAAGGCAGAGTGACAGAGAGAAAGAGAGAGAGAGAGAAAGAAGGCTTGGGCAAAGAATATCCAAGAAATACCAAGAAGTGGAGTCTGCAGAGCAGGCGGGTCAGACCTGAAGTTCCTGCCGCGTTACTCAGCAGACAGAGGGCAGGAGGGATTTGAGCCACACGGGTAGGAGTGTGTGTCTAAGGAAGAGCCACCTGCAATCAGCGCTAAGGCATCTTGTAAAAAACTAATTTACCAGGTGGAACTCACAGACCATAAACCCAGCGCCTTAGGGAGGACAGCGCAGTGTAGTTAGGCCACCCCTGTCTGGAACGTGCAAAAAGCACCTTGTGAGCTGTAGAAATAACAAAGCCCTGGGCCCACAGCTTAATGGGGGAGGAGTTGCCTTGTGCAGAATTTTAAATTCCAAGCAGAAATGCATTTTTTAAGCATTTGAAAGAACGAGGAAAGGCAGCTCACAGGAAAGGCCAGTACACCTGTGAGCAGATGCTCACTAGTCTGTCAGAGATGCAAATGACACGGATAGCACTTCTCATAAATCCGATCAGCTGAGATAAAAGTGATTGATAGTGCCCGGTGCTGGCAGCGGTATGAGGAAACGGGCACTCTCCCCCGCGCTGTGGGGGTGTAAATCAGCGTAACCTTTTGGGAAAGCAATTTGTCACCCTCCATTAAATCTTAGCCTATCTTCTGACTTCTAGGAACGTAGCCCACAAACGCACTCACGCAGTTGTGCCAAGACATAAGTAAAAGGAGCTCTTGTTTGAAAATACGTTAAAAAATGGAATCAATCCAAATGTCCATTAATAGGAGATGCGTTAAGTGATGGTTTCCCAGCATACTGGAACACGAAGCTGTGCTGGACAGGAAAGAAGGAATGAGAGCCTGTGTCTTAGCAAGGACATAGCTCCAAGATACGACCAGAGGCAGAGCCCATTGCCAGATGAGCTGGGACCGTCTAATTCTGTTTTCCTTCTTTATGTGTATGTGTATCTCTTAAGGATTTATTTATTTGACAGGCAGAGTTACAGAGAAAGAGAGAAGGAGAGACAGAGATCTTCTATCTGCTGGTTCACTGCCCAACCAGTAGCGACAGCCGGAGCTGGGCCAATCAGAAGCCAGGAGCCAGGAGCCTTCCATGTGGGTCTCCCACAAGGGTGCTGGGGCCTGAGCACTTGGACCATCTTTCACTGCTTTCCCAGGCACATTAGCAGGGATTTGGATCGGAAGTGGAGCAGCCAGAACTTGAACCATTGTCCATCTGGGATGCCTACGCTGTAGATGGCTCACCATGGCGAAGCGCCAACCCTTAATTCTATTTTCATTCAAAATTACAGAAGAAATTCTGCAGCCACATAGAGCAAGCTGTTACCCATGACTATCTTGGAGTCAGGGTAACAACGTAGATTTACAGGTGGATTTTCTACTTTATTTGTATCTGAATGTTCAGAAATTTTCATGATGAATGTGCAGTGCCTTTCCAATCAGAAGGAAAAGATACTGGTTTCACGGAATTGCTCGATATGTTTAACAGGAGTGGGTAATGGTTAAAGAGCTGGGCGTCAGCAGCTGCCCCTGCTGCCTGATGGCCTTGCTGTCCATGGCAGTGGACACTGTTATTACCTTTGTCTTGCAGAAAAGGAGCTGGAGGCACAGAGAGGTTGAATAACTTAACCTTTTTTCTTATACATAATTTAAATTGGGATATACTTCACATACTTATAAAACTCACCCCTTTTAAAAATGTTATTTTTAAAATATTTTTATGTATTTTAAAAACTACATTTGAAAAGTAGAGTTAGTGAGGGGAAAAGACAGAGAGAGAGATCTTCCACCTGCTGGTTCACTCCCCAAATGGCTGCAACAGCCAGGCTGGGCCAGGCCGGAGCCAGGAGCCAGGGGCCAGGCACTTCTTCCAGGTCTCCCACATGGGTGGTGGGGGCCCAAATACTTGGGCTGTCTGTCTCTGCTTTTCCCAGGCCATCAACAGGGAGCTGGATTGGAAGTAGAGCAGGTGGGATACAAACTGGCACCCATATGGAATGCCTGCATCACAGACAGCAGCTTAACCCACTGTACCACAACATGGGCCCTAAAACTCACCCTCCTAAAGAATCCACTGGGGCTGGGACTGGCAGAGAGGGTTAAGCCACTGCGTCCAGCCACTCACGTACCTGGGGGAACAGCAGAGGATGGCCCAAGTGCTTGGTCCCCTGCTGCCTTTGTGGGAGACTAGGAAGAAGCTCTTTGGGCAGCAGACCAGTGGAGGGACATCCCATCTGTCTGTCTCTCTGCCTTTCAAATAAATGTCTTTTTTTTTTTTTTTTTAATAGAGTATCACCCAAGGACTTTTCACTGTATTCCCAAAGTTGTACAGTCATTGCCACCATTCAATTCAAGAATATTTTCCTTGGGGCCGGTGCCGTGGCTCACTTGGTTAATCCTCCGCCTGCTGCGCCGGCATCCCATATGGGCACCGGGTTCCAGTCCTGGCTGCCCCTCTTCCAGGCCAGCTCTCTGCTGTGGCCCGGGAGTGCAGTGGAGGATGGCCCAAGTGCTTGGGCCCTGCACCCGCATGGGAGACCAGGAGGAAGCACCTGGCTCCTGGCTTCGGATCAGCGCAGCACCGGCCGTGGCGGCCGTTTGGGGGGTGAACCAACGGAAGGAAGACGTTTCTTTCTGTCTGTAACTCTATCTGTCAAATAAAAAGAAAAAAGGAATCTTTTCTCCTCCTGCAGAAAGACGCTTCTTGGGCCGACTTTTGGTTCACCCATCGAGCAGACCCAGGTCCTGCCGGCGAGAACTGCTAAGGAGCTGCAGAAGCGCTACTTGGTGTTCATCAACAAGGACAAGGTAGAGCCCTCGCTCTTCCCTGCTGTGTGTGCTGCCGGCCACATTCCGTCCCCAGGGTGGTAAGACTCCAGGGGGCCTGGCGCCACGGCCACGGCCTGCCAACTCCATCCAGGCCATGGGGAGGCCGAAACCACCAGGGCAAGCAAGAATGCCATAACCGGGCGCACCGAGCAGTCAGATTTCCTGTGCCCCCACGGCGGACACGGCCCACAAGGGGACTCTTTCCCTGGTGCATTTGCGTGGAAGGTTGGTTACACTTAGCTGGGTATTCAACAGACTATCTGTATTGAAGAGTAAATCACAGGATGTGAGAATCAGTCTGGACAACCCCAGACGCTTGCCGAGGAGGCCCCGCAGGAAAGCTTCCCTGCTGTGTTCCTGCTGAAGCCGGGCAGGGGGGCCTCAGGTCCCCTCAGGGACCCCCGACAAGTGGATGCCCAGCTAGGTTAGATGCAGCCCCACCCCCTGTCCTGGCTGTGGACACACAAGTCCTTCCAGCACATGGGTCTAGAGGTGACATGCGCACCTGTCCCCTCCGTTTGAGTGAGCGCCACGTGTCTCTTTCTAGGTTGGGCTGCAGATCCTGCCAGTGGACGGCAACCCACACAAGACATGGGCCATTGTTTGCCACCCAGACGGGGTGGCCAGCATGGCCCTGTCCTGTGATGGCTCTTACGCCTTCACAGCAGGAGGCCACGATCGCTCGGTTGTGCAGTGGAAAATCAACCTGAGGTACGTGCTGGGCAGCCTGGCCGTGTAAGGAAGGGCTTGGGTGCAGGCCTTCTTCTTTCACCGCATGGCGGCCCCCCACTGTCTGCCAGGCGCTGTCCTGTGACGTGTCCAAGCTGCTCCTTGTGACCTCTGTTCAAATCAGTGAGCAGTCGCAAGGCCACCCTTCTATCCCACGGGCCCACAGCACTTCAGCCCCCCTGACTCCACCTGGCTTCGCCCTTGCTCCCCAAATCCCTCTCACTCTGCCTTTAGCACGGCTGCAGCAGCGGGACAGACCCAGGGAGCAGCGGGACAGACCCACTGGTCAGGGAGCAGTGGGCAGGGCTGCTTGTCCTGCTCTGCCTCCCAGAGCTGAGGCACCTGCCCCAGGTGGGGCTGCAGAGGTCCAGCACTGGACATGGGAGAGTGCAGGGACACTGAGGCCGCAGAGATGGGGGTTTGAGTTTAGAGCTGTCTCGCCTCCCAACTGGGGGACCTCGGCCAGGTTTCTTAGCGTCTTCGAACTTCAGGTTCTTTGTGAAAACGGGGGATGTACCGGGGCCTTTGGCAGGACTCTCGTCAGGATCTGGCTGGTTAAAGCACCTCGCCCGGAGCTGAGCGCCCTCACACAGGCCTTCGTCACAAGCTCAGCTCTTGCTCGCTAAAAGCGGGGTATGCCTTAAGGTGGCCCCCGATCTGCCTGATTCAGGGAGCCGCCTCAGGGCAGTCCACCCAAGCAGCCAGTTCCATTCCTGACTATGTCCAGGGCCGTGCTGCACCCCTATCTCAGGTGGGCGCCACCCCAGCAGTGTGGTGTTTAGGGGCCAGGGACAGCAGGTGTTAGCCTGACCAGGTGCACGCACATCTTTCTCCGTATGGCCGAGACCCAGGCTTCTCCCTCTCAACTGAGTGTGAGCCAGGCAGCCCGCTCTGACTTTGACCTCTGCCATCAGCTGAGTGGGCAGGTTTGGGGGACCTGGGGATTCAGAAGGTGGAGGTGAGCTCTCCCTGATCCGTGTCCTCAGACCCAGCCTATCGCCCAGGACCTGGGGACTGGCAGGGCCTGTAGCAGAATAGAATGTTCCGTTTTCCATTTTTGTCCTCTGGAAATGGTTGAGATTTAAAAAAAAAAAAAAAAAAAAAAAAAAAAAAGCCCGGCACTCGCTTTCCAAAGCTTTCCTGTGCCTGGCCAGAGTCCAGGCTTCTGAGAATTTCAATTTAATCTGTTGTGGGGACAAAGGATCATTATAAACTAATTAGCACTTCATGGCTGCTTCTAGTGACTTAATCTGCTCAGTGCCTCACGCACGGGAAGGAAAGGAAAAACCCTAAACAAGGAAGCAAAGCCCCTACTGGATTCGCGGGTGGCACCTTCTAGGAGGGTCGGTCCCCTCCCGTTCTGCTCTGCCCTGGGCCTGCCATCGCTGCCTGGGAGCGTCTGCCCGAGCACCCCTCCTCCCCTCCCCCCACTGGCTCCTCGCACCTCCTGCCTCCCCCCTGTCTGACACCGCGCCTCCTCCTCTCCTTGTCTGGCATCTGTTTCAAAGCCCCATTACTTCTGTCCGCCCAGCCTCCCTGCCTCCTGCTCTCCTGCTGCCACCTTGCTCAGACAAGAGCAGAGAGACCCGGATTCAAATCCGGCCCCACCACCTCCTCGCCCGGTGACCTCGGCAAGTCTCTTTCCTCCATCCGTGGGATGGGACTGTTCCGTCACTGGGGCCAGAGCTGTCTCAAGGGTGGTGAGCCCCATTGCTATGCCTCTGCCTGCTCAGGGAGCGTGTCCTGGGCACCTACTGCGCAGCGCCCTGCCCGGAAGTATGAGACAGCCAGGTAGAGAGTGGGCAGTCAGCAAATGGCGCTTCCCTGTGGTGCCTCCAGTGACCTCTGTCTCTGTTGCAAGGATAGGACCTCAACTTAGGCAGCCCCTGGACGCTCAGCGCCTTCCCTGCTCTGGACTGCGCCGAAATTTATTTAACACCGGCAGCGGCCCCGTCGTGGGGTGCCGGCGATTTTGGAGTTTTTCAGCTTTGGAGTGAGACCAAGTCAGTCTCGTACAAGTGCAGGTTTTGTTGCCACGTTTACACGGCCTGAGCCCGTGTTGGAGAGCGGAGGGGCAGGCCTCACCTGCGCACTTCCGGCAAAGCGGCAGCCTGGGGGCCGGCGGCTTCAGGGCCAGGAGCCCACCGGTCGCCTCCCTCCCTCAGGAGGGTCGTGGTCCCCAGGGGTTGCTGGCAAACTGCCGGCCTCCTGTCCGTGGTCAGCGAGAGAGGGGCGCCCTGGCTCAGGCCCTGGGCCGCCCCGTTCCACGGCTCCACTGTGGAGAGGCCGCCTCCTCCTCAGCCCAGGGTCTCCGTTTTGTTCCAGTGCCCTGGAGGCAGCGGTCTCTCTCGGGGGTGAGGACCTGACCCCGTTCTACGGCCTGGTGCCCGGCGGCAGGGAGGGCAAGTTCTACACGGTAAAGGGCCGCGCGGCCAGCCCTCGGACGCCCCCATGGCGGACCCCGCATGCGTGCGCACCCTCCCGGCATGCCCCGGGGCGCGCGCGCCCTCCCGGCATGTCCCGGGGCGCACGCGCCCTCCCGGCATGCCCCGGGGCGCAGGCTGACGCACATCGCCTCCTCAGGAGCTCGAGGACTACTTCTACTACTCGCAGCTCCGCAGCCAGGGCATCGACACGATGGAGGGCCGCCAGGTGTCCGAGCACATCTGCCTGTCGGAGCTGCCGTTCGTCATGCGAGCCATCGGCTTCTACCCGTCAGAAGAGAAGGTGGGAACCTGGGCGCTGGGGCGGGCCAAGCCGCGAGTCAGCGGGTCGTAGGGAAGGTGCAGGTTCGTCCAGGGAGGCGCTGTCCGTTAGGTCCTGGCCGGCCCAGGCGTGTTCTGGTCCCCGCTGGGCAAGGCCCGGCCTCGGAATGTTCCAGAAGGCAGAGCCCGGCCAGTGTGGCGGCCGTTGTCGTGCACAGGTGCCGTCAGCCACTGGGTGTGGCCTCGTGGCACACAGGAGGGGAGGCGGGTCCTCCTCACCCGGCCTGGGCAGCGCGGGCGGTGCCCCTCGGGTGCGCCGTGGTCTGAAGGGCAGTGGATGAGCAGGCGTTGGAGGCACGGCTCGCCTGCGGCCCACATCAGCGGAGGGCCAGGTTCCTTCAAGTCCCAGCTCCACTTCCGGTCCAGCTCCCTCCTGATACCCGGCCCTGGGGGCAGCAGGTGCCCCACTAGGAGTCCCAGGTTTGGCCTGGTTCTCGCCTGGCCGCTGCAGGCATCTGAGGAGGGAACTAGTGGCGGGAGGAGGGAGATTTGTCTCTTATCTGTAAATGAATACAAATCTGTAAAAATAAATAAAATGCAAGTGACCAGGTTTTCTTTCTGATTTGAAATGCGGTACATTCCCAGTGTTGAAACTACACAGCAGAATGAAGAAAATAGTTACTTGTAATCCTGCACCCAGACTTTGCAGTTAATGTTTCCCTTCCTTTCTCACATAGTTCTAGGAGATAAGTTGGCACCTTGTTAAATACGTATTTCTATTCTCTGTTTTCACCTAATGTTATATCGTAAGCATCTTCCACTTCATTCAAATGCTCTGAAAACTTTAAAGGATATATTTTATAACCTTTCCGGTTTTAGAAAATAAAACAGTAGGGGCAGGCGCTGTGGTATAACGGGTAAAGCCACCACCTGCAATGCTGGCATCCCATGTTGGTATCCGTTTGAGTCCCAGCTGCTAAGCAGTGGAAGATGACCAAAGTCCTTGAGCCCCTGCACCCAGGTAGGAGACGTTGGTGAAGCTCCTGGCTCCTGATTTGGCCTGGCGCAGCCCTGGCCATTGTCGCCCTTTGGGAAGTGAACCAGCAGATGGAAGACTCCTCTCTGCCTCTCCTTTTCTGTAACTCTGACTTTCAAATAAATAAATAAATAAATCTTAAAAAAATAGTATAATAACGAGTAAAGTAGAAATTACTCAGAGGTAATCATAGTTACTATTTTGGTGTATTTCATATACAGATGTGGATATATTTGTTTTCATTTAATTATTTATTTGGGAGACAGATGGGGAGAGAGAGACAGACAGACAGAGATCTTCTCTCCAGCATTTCGCTCCCTCAATGTTTTTTTATTTTTATTTTTATTTTTTTTTATTTTTTGACAGGCAGAGTGGACAGTGAGAGAGAGAGACAGAGAGAAAGGTCTTCCTTTGCCGTTGGTTCACCCTCCAATGGCCGCCGTGGCCGGTACACCGCGCTGATCCGATGGCAGGAGCCAGGAGCCAGGTGCTTTTTCCTGGTCTCCCATGGGGTGCAGGGCCCAAGCACCTGGGCCATCCTCCACTGCCCTCCCTGGCCACAGCAGAGGGCTGGCCTGGAAGAGGGGCAACCGGCACAGAATCTGGCGCCCCGACTGGGACTAGAACCTGGTGTGCCGGCGCCGCTAGGCGGAGGATTAGCCTAGTGAGCCGTGACGCCGGCCCACGCTCCCTAAATGTTAACAGCAGCCAGAGCTGGGCCAGGCCAAAACCAGGAGTGGGGACCCCGGTCCAGGTCTTCCACGTGGATGGCAGGGGCCTGACTACTTAAGCCATCATCTGCTGCCTCCTAGGATGTGTGTCAGCAGGAAGTTGGAATGGAGAGCAGAGCTGGGACCCAGGCACTCTGATGTGGGATACAGGTATCCCGAGTGGCATCTTTGCTAGGCCAAACTCCCATCACTCCACCATATCTCTATTTGTAAACAAAGCATTGACATCATATGATATATCTATATCTATATCTGTATCAGTATTATGTACTATGTGTATATATACATATATATTTTTTAAAGGTTTATTTATTTATTTGAAAGGCAGAACTGCAGAGAGGCAGAGGCAGAAAGGGAGAGAGAGAGGTTTTCCATCTGCTGGTTCATTCTCCGAACAGCCACAACAACTGGAGCTGGGCTAATTCGAAACCAGAAGCCAAGTTTCTTCCAGGTCTCCCACGTGGGTTCAGGGGCCCAAGGACTTGGGCCATCTTGCTTTCCCAGGCCATTAGCAGAGAGCTGGATTGAAAGTGGAACAGCCGGGACTCAAACCAGTGCCTATATAGGATGCTGGCACTGCGGGCGGTGGCTTTACCCGCTGCACCACCGAGCTGGCCGCGTGTGTGTATTTCTGTGGATATACGCGTGTGTGTATGCAAGGGCACGTACGTCAGCAGTCTCGGTAGCCGTGTTCTGAGACGTCCTTGACACAGAGTGCTTTTCAGGCTGCACGCTTGCTGAAGCCACCCCCAGCGGATGGGGGTGACAACACACGGTGTCTCGAGTGTTGGCTGTCACAGCTGCCGCTGGGCTGGGCGTCTCTGAGTGTGGTTTGGAGTACTTCTCTGATTGTTTCCCTGGGTCGGAGATAGGAACTTTAGGGTCCTATTGCCAGCTGCGTCCCAGAAATGTGGCATCTGCATGCCCACGCTCAGGCACACTCAATTCCCAACACCCGGCTAAGACTTGATGCTCGCCCCAGTCACCTTCTCTGGGCTGGTGGCCTGCCCACAGTCACCTCTTTCCTGTGCTCCGTGGGTGACCAGGAGGGGTGTGCTGTTAGTACCCACAACCATGCTGAGTCACGAATGAGGACCTGAAAAGTGTTTATTTCCAGCTCCCCAAAAAGTCTTCCACCAGATGTGCATTTTGTGGAAGTACATGGTCAGGACACAAGTGGCTGCCCAGGCAGTGGGTGCTGCCCACAAAGAGGGCTCCTTGGAGCTGCACTCGTGCCTTCCCCAGCGTGGTGCGTGGAGTGCTGGGGTGCAGATGGGCTGTATCAGACTCACCTGGAGCACATCCTCTGATTCCTGGTCCCTGCGCCCTGTCCAGAGCTCACTGTTGTGAATCTGAGCTCAGGGCCTGGGAGTTCACCTCTCCCAGAGTTGTTGTGAGCCCCTGCCTTAGAACTCGGCATTGAGGGGTGCTAACCGGGGCCATGCATATTTGAGGAGATGGGACCAGACCCGCTCACTGAGTTTCTTAGCCAGGACCCTTCTTTGTCCACAGCATGCTTGGCTCATGTAAGTCCAGAGGCAGCATGAGCTGACCAGGCTCTCAGACTGTCACCTTCTCTCTGGGCCTTGCTCTCCTTTGTGTTGCCCTTGATCTTGGCCTGGTTCCTCACCTACCTCCAGCCAAGCTCAGCCTCTGAGGCAGGAGTGAGCCCATTGCAGAGCTCAGGCACCCCGGGGAGGGTGGGCCTGTCTCTAACCTCGTGGCCTCATTTCTGTATAGAGATGCTGCCTTACACAACTTACCTATTTATACACACACACACACACACACACACAGATCTTCCATCTGCTGATTCACTCCCCAAATGGCCACATGGCTGAATATGGGCCAATCTGAATCCAGGAGCTAGGAGCTTCTTCTGGGCCTCCCACATGGCTGCAGGGACCCAAGGACGTGGGCCATCTGCTGCTGCTTCCCCAGGTGCATTAGCAGGGAGCTGGATTGGAGGTGGAGTAGCCGGGACTTGAAGCAGTGCTCACATGGGCAGCAGCTTTACCCACTGCACCACAGTTCCAGCCCCTAAGTATATATTTTTTCATGAGGATAATGGTAGTACCCATGTCTTGGAGTTGTTGTATGGACTGAGGCTCTGTGTGGCACGGTGCTGATGCCGACAAGGCTCCCATTAGAAGCTTGGAAACCATTAGCCAGCATCCTCATCTCTGGATGCCTGGTTATAAAAGGTTTCACACAAGTGTTCTTGCAAGGCCAATGTGTGGATGGAAATCACAGAATGTTCAGTGGTGTGGAAGGAGGTCCAAGGCGTGTTTCGTGGCTGGCAGAAATCCAGAATCCCAACACAGCTCAGATCCCCAGGGGGAGAGCAAGGTTGATGGCACAGCCTGGATTCTAGTCACAGCACCAATGTAAGGCCACCACAAAACACACCAAACACTGGAGTTAAGGGAAAGGTTTATAGTCGGGTGGGGGAAGCCCGACAGGCAGAGAGGAGAGGGTGAGAGAGTGAGTGAGGATATGTGCTGGAAGCAGGTCCCGTTATATGTTTGCAGGGGGCAGGGGAGTAGGAGCAGCAGAGCTGACACCTGTGGTTGGGCCATGGGGCTTAGGACCGAAGCTTACTGTGCAAGGTGGCCACCAGGCGGGGGGCAGAGCCTAAGATGGCATCCGGGGCATAGATGGTGCTGCAGGTAAGACTGCCACTTTGGCCGGCGCTGCGGCTCACTAGGCTAATCCTCCGCCTTGCGGCGCCGGCACACCGGGTTCTAGTCCCGGTCGGGGCGCCGGATTCTGTCCCGGTTGCCCCTCTTCCAGGCCAGCTCTCTGCTGTGGCCCGGGACTGCAGTGGAGGATGGCCCAAGTGCTTGGGCTCTGCACCCCATGGGAGACCAGGAAAAGCACCTGGCTCCTGCGATCAGTGCGGTGCGCCGCCAGCCGCGGCGGCCATTGGAGGGTGAACCAATGGCAAAGGAAGACCTTTCTCTCTGTCTCTCTCTCTCACTGTCCATTCTGCCTGTCAAAAAAGTTTAAAAAAATAAATAAATAAAAAAAGACTGCCACTTTACTAACAGTTCTTCTGACCTCATCTTGCTTCTTTGTTCACAGAACCTTTTGTAAGCCTTTCACATTTTCTTGATCTGGTAAAGATAATTTACACAATTATGCCAGAGATACCACTTTGAAGGTGGTCTTCCCATTCGGGATTCTTTATTTGAAACACAAGGCTTCTGTGACTGCATCCTGTCATGGCCCAGCAGCGCCCATGAGAGAACCTGC